GCACAAAGCCAGCGTGCAATGGTGAAGAAGAATTCAAGATCACCCTGTCAGATCACTGGCTGACCATCCGTGATGAACTCAAGCGTGCAGAGCAGAGTGACAGGCTGCAACGCATCAACAAGAGGAGCATGTTGCAAGACATTCAACAGCCTTTAGACTGGCAGCCGTGGAAGCGCATGGCAAGGACACTCAACAAACAAAACGCCTTGGCCTTACAGACCTGGCATCAGGGTGCACTGTTCACCAAATACAGTGACAGCCAAGAAGGCAAGTTTTTGACATGCCCTCACTGCAACCAGCCCGCCACAGCAGTACACCTGATGTGGTTATGCAAGCACACACAACGAGCTTTTCCAGCCCTCCATCCAGATGACCAGTTTGAGCTGGGGCACGGACTCAACCTTGAGTTCTGGGCACAAGGGCTTTTGCAAATGCCTAAGCTTGAGCAATCCACTGGAGGTCCTTCAGTCCAGGCCTGGGGCACCTGGACCACTCATGATGAGGCACGCATTCATCATCCAGATGTGGTCACCATTGCAGTGGCCAGCACATCAACAGACGCACGCCTCAAGCATTTTGCTGTGGCAATCGTGCACCACACACAGATAGGCGGCCAACTGTATCGTCAAGGAGCAGTAGTGGCCATATTGCCCGGCAAACAGACATGGGAGAGAGCATGGATGTACGGGCTACGAATGATAGCTCACTATGTGGATGTCAGGCAAAGACAGGTGGTGCATGCACAAAGCACAAGAGCCTGGCAGGCTTGGCAGCACGGACAACACAAAGACAGCTTTCATGACATCCAAACACATGTCATGCATGACCAACGAATGCAGATCAAGGCACTCTGCATCAATCCAAAGCAGCTGCGTGAACTCCCTAAGGGAGAGTGGACACTGCGCAACAGAATGGCTGACGCGGCCAAAGCTGCCCGCGAGGTCGCGCTCTCGCATCAACCCAGAGAGCAAGAGCAAGAGTTGGCCCTTCAAGACAAGAAGTACCAGAGAATCGCTCCTTTGGCGATTCAGCGGGTGAAATATCTGCTGGAAGACAAATCTCACTTTCTTCACGACGCCAGGGAGCAAGGGAAAGAGAAGAGAACACAAGCACGTGAACACAAAAGAGAGCTGTACAATAGCCTGTCAGGCCAAACCAGACCTGATGGCCACAATTGGCAGCCAAAGGGCATCAGTCAGCAGTGCACACTTTGCAAAGCACGGCTCACGATGCATAGCAGCACACAGGACATTGAAGCTGGGCGCACCGGCATTTGTCCACAGGCCACCAGCCCACCCATCATTGGAGGACAAGCATCTTTGAGCGACAAAAGTCAGCTGATCCAAAGCATGGTGGATGGCTTGGCGCCAAACATGGCTCCACACCAATTTGTGGTTCAGAAGCACTACATTGTGTGTGCAAGATGTGGCCAACGTCTTTTGAAGAATTCCTCCAAAGGAAAGCTGACGGAGCTCAGTTTGACAGCATGCTGGAACGATCCCTGGCCCACTCCAGCCTCCTGAACTGGCCACAGATCCCACCAAATGTGGAGGAAGGGAGCCAAAGTGCATTGCACTTTGTGCATGGCACATGGAGTCCACAAAGCAGGTCGCATCGAACCGAGCAAACAGCTCGTCAAAGAGTGCGGCAAGAAGCAACAAGGCATTTTGCCGCTGTGTTTTAGGCCCAAGGAGGTCGCAGACTAGCACGGAAAAGGAGTGCACAAAAAAAATATGTGTGTGTATGGCTGGTCGACATCACGATGAATAGTTCATGTTCTTTTATGTGATGTCCAAATTGTTTTATCTTGAGTCTTTATGTATGATATGTCAAAATTCCAGGGTCGCCGAGGGCTCGAGCTTGCTTGTGAAGAAGATTAGATTAACTCGTAGCCCCAGTGGCATGTGTTGCCACACCTTTGTCATGGGGATTGCTCCATGCTTGCTGGTTCTGAACTTTCTCAATCTTTTGACTGGAATTTAAGTGGGCAGCAGAACTTCGGCGACCACTTGAAGGAAGCACGAAAAGGTGGCTTGCCAAAGCCTCAAAGGCAAAAATGTGGAGGCTACCTAGAGTTCCAACAAGCAGTCAGGAGAGCTGCGCGCAAGTAGTGCCATGTGATCGCCTGCGCGCGCGCCCGCAGGAATGAATGTATAGACCGTGACCGTTTGTCCCTGATGCCTTGTCAATCCATCTTGCGCTGACGCGCAGGGTGCCCGAAGGAGCCCAACCGGTTCGGAAGTCACCCAAGTAACCCCTGTCGGTGCTGACTTCTTAAGAATTAGGTCCTTAGGTGAACCGCGGCCACAGACTAAGTGTTCGGCAATCGCAAGAGGAAGAGAGGGTTGCCATAGGCACTACCTTCGGTGCATTCAAGTCTCGAGCTTCTCCCCTCCTTCTTCAGACTCGGATCTGGGTTTCGCCTGTGATGCAGTCGAAAATGTGGTGAAACGACGTTTTCACGTGAAAAAAACATAACCATGGAGAGCACGAGTCACTGAAGACACATCCATTGCCGAGGCCATTTGGCACATCAAAAAAAAAGAAGAACATCTGCCAGCCACCCACCCACGTGCCTTCGGCGGTTCCGCTTGTCCAAGCAGCTTGGGATGCTCATGCCGCTGTGCCCGTGACTCTCCGCAGCCCATGCCGTGACGCTCCGGTGCGACGAGAGGTGGGAAGCTCCGCGGGGGGGCGCCGCTTGGGGGGTTGGTGGAAGCTCAAAGAGGGGAGCGTCTGGATGAACTCATGGCATGGAGCAACGAGAGGTGTAAAAAGGGCCTTCCGAAGGACTAGAGGGGGAAGGGTGGCCCTGTTCAAGTGCGTGAAAAGTTTCCACACACATTGGCCAAACCTTAGGCCAAACCCTTTCAGCGCCCTCCAAGGAGGTCCTGTGGGTGAAGACAAAGGTTCTCTATACGATTTCTTGCGAAAGCACCCTGTCGAAAGCGAGATCCTCGGCTGCTGAGTGGTAGTGGTGCCCAATGTGCTCTTTTACATGGTGCCAATCCTACGCTTGAGCCTGACAACCACTCGCTGAGGCAAGCGCAGTCCCTGGTGACTTGGTCATGAAGAAGTCTGAAAGTATGAATGGGAATGCAGGCATAAACCAAAATGATTAAGCTGCAGAACAACTTTGGCATTCAGCTTGGGGTGACTGTTGAACATGCCAAGGTATGTTGGACGAAGAGCGTCAATGATGCACTCTCTCCCAAACAGGAGGTTCAGATCAACCCACACTGCAGCACTTTGCACCTAGCAGCGCTTTTTAGCGAGTTGTCATGTTCGACGCAACAGTTCTCTTGTTGCTGCGCGTCCGGTCGCTGCATGGAGGATTGCACCATTCCAATCCGAAAAAAAAAAAAAACTCGACCGTTCTGATTTCAACCTCTCTGCCCCAAGGACGCCCCCATCCGTTCCTTCGTTCCTGTGCAAACCTCAGCAATGCACTGCTAATCGAATTCGACGGTTTGGCCTAAAGCCTCGTCGGAATGACATGGGGTGGAAAAGGTCGACAAACAGGTCCTCAAATTCACGTCCGCAGTCTCCTCCTCAATTTTTGCCAGGTTACACTTGAAATCATCATTTACGTGGATAGCATAGCCGTTTTCCAAGCAATCATGATTATTCTAGGGAGTGTATGTTGAGCGAACTTATGGATAAAGTTCTCAGAAAGAAGAAACGACCACAAGCAAATCTACAGACCGCAACGCATGCCTTTTGTAGAGCCCCTCATTTGGACATGAAAGTATTCGCTAGTGGTATAGACTGAAAGTCTCCCTTTTCTGAGAAACAACCTGGGTTTGGGCATTAACTGCATTCCCTCTTGAGGTTGTTAGCATGAGCCATCATGAACCCCATCTTTTGACTCTTGTTGACTCGGCTGTCTCCCTTTCTTCCTCCCCTTTGCTGTCTGGCAAGCGAGCAAAACGGCGGTCTGTACGCAAAAATCAGGCCCGCTGAAACCAGGCGCAGTGGGCCACCTTCTTCTTCCGCATCAAAGGATGGCTGCTGCTCAGATGTTGCTCGACCAGGGCCCGACAAAACGACTGCTTCGGTGCCCAGGATTCAGGTCGGACGATTTTCTAGGCTGCCAAGGGGTGTAATCGCCAACATCATATGATATCGTAGAATCCTGGTGATGACCAGTGAAATCTTGAAATCGGATCTTGCATGATCTTACGCATAACTCTACAGTATATATATATATATACATTGCAAACTGAGCCACGGTCACCTACGTACAGGGTGGTAGTCCCGTCACGGTCAACGAGGGTCAACGGTGGACTGGACACCGGAACGGTGGTCCATTTGACGGGTTGGCAGGCAGGACCCCAAGAAAGCTCAGTCGAATCGTCAAACGGTGACCAGTCTGGACGACGGGAAACCCCACTCCTTGTTCCAGTGACTTTCTGGTTCTATACCCGGACCTCACAGACTTGGAAGAAGAGGCAGCCTGATCAAAAAAGCTGCGCGCGTGCGAGAAAACGGCACTCTCTGTGCCTGGTTTTTTCCATTGATCTGTTTGCTTCCGTGCGCTCAAACGAATTATGTGAGAACAGGGATGCACATCGGTCCAGGTCATCTGAAGGGTCTGGACATCCTCTTGGCCCGTCAGGCCGGTCGGTGTGTTTGTTCGAGGGTTGGTTTGGCTCCAACAACGCGTTGTTTGGCTCCACAGCTCCACACACCTGGTCTGATTCGCTGCCCAAAAAAATGAGGAGCTGCTCTCAACCAAGCACTTCCGCCCTCCCTCAGGGGTTTCGGCTCGATGCAACAAAGACTTCCGCCCCGCAAACAGTTGTAGAGGGCTTGACAGTGCAAAATCTGACTAGTGACTAGTAGAGACTTGACCTGCGAAGGAGCGATGATCCGCCCCTCGACAGAATGTTTGGAGCACCCCTCACCATCCATGTTGATTCGTGTTCAAGCAAAGAATGACTGGTTTGGTCTAAAATCGCCTAGTCCTCACTGTAGCGACGAAATACTGTTGGGTTGAAGAAAAAGAAAAGAGAACGAATATATAGGCATCCATGTTCCCCTACAGCAGCTGCATCCAGCAAAGCAAGGAGGGGTGGGATTTGCCTTCTCAAGCCCCACACCCCCCGGTCCTCCTCGCCAGAATTCCTGGCTGACACTCAACTACAGCGAGTGCCGAACGGCCCGGTCAATTGTGAGCAGCTCGGGCTCCTCCGGTTACCTGGCCGAGAGTTCGGCGAGATCCAGGCGTTTTGGGGGTTTGAGCGAGACCAAACCGCCCATTAGGAGGTTCTATGAGAGAGGAGAAATTGCTTTGGTCCCGTCAGTTCATAGCTCTTGGAGCTTCCTGCAACATCTGATACTTCTTGTCTTCGTCCTCAAAGAAGCGCCTTGGGGAGCAACTCGTGGGGTATGGGTCACCAAACAAGGGCCTTCCCTTCCAAACATCCTTCTCAATATAGACCCAGGCTCAGGGGGTCGATCCGTTGTCCCCGGTGAGGACCCACCCAGGACCCCCCACCGGTGCGGGAAGCATCAACACCTACTAGGGATGCAACGGAACCCGGTCTCGAGTTGAACAGACCAGGAGATCAGAGCCACCACACAGGCGTCCAGGCTTCGGGTTCACTCAACCAAAGGTCAAATTCGCTGCAATTCGAAGCAGTTCTGTGGGTCCACTTCGACCAGTTGGCTGTTCGGGGGCCACGATTCAGACCTAGCTCTCGGACTTCCCCCATTCGGCATTGAAGAGACCCAGCCCCATCTTTTCTTTCCACAGGTGGCACACATTAAAAGAGTCGATCGAAATCGAACCTTTGATGCGACGGGTCCTTGGGCGGACCGCACCTCTTCTTCTGCTCCGCCAGCTGGCGCTGGTACTGATCCTGGGCTTCGCCAACAGGAGCCCCGAGACGTCGCGTCCCCGCCGTCTCGGGCGAGTCTTGGAGGACATGGTCCGTTTCGGGTTCCACGAGGAGGTCGTCTTCCAATTGGAGTCTCGGCAGTCATCTATGACTCTCACAACCAGTGTGGTTATAGGTGATCACCAATCCCATGATCCCCAGATTGGACTCCCCCCTCGACATTTGCGAGATCAAACGCGACCTCTGTCTCTCTTTAGACCCATGTGACATCCTGAATTGGAGGTCCAATTGCTAATGAAGCAACCCATCCTTTGATCACTGAGGATATATATAACCCATTTTATGACAAACGAAAAAATGAAGGGGATAGGGAGGAAAAAAATAAGACGTCACAGTCGGTCGCACCCTCGACCGATGAACTCTCAGCCCGGCATCCATGCGCCCTTGCAGCCAATCTGTGCGGGCATTGTTGAAAACGGTGGTGAGGGCTGGCAGAAGGCCGACGACCGTCATACACTCCTTAAACCTGGATTGGATGCGATTGCAAAAACAAGGGCACAAATCATAGCAAAAATTATAGCCGGACATCTTCTGCTCATGTATATAGCTCATCCTCATTCCTTCCAAAAAAACTATCGATTCGACGCATTCTCGCCAAGCAGCCACTTTGGCTTCGTGTCATTCAAAGGTGTTTCGTACCATTTGGCATAAGAGTTGAAGATCTCGAACCACATGGAAGTATTCCATTGCGCTCCCATGATACAGCACCAGAAGATTGCTGTGGGCGTCCCCAACATTGCCATGGGTGTAAATCCCTGAAGCCAAGACTGATGCGGGCAACACACTTGTGTCACTTTTGTGCTTCTGTCACACATCGTGCTCAAAAACTCTATCGCCCCCTTTTTTAGGCAATGCACTTCTTGCTCCAAAACCAAACCGTTGAAGTGAAGTGCGAAAACACAAAAAATAACATGACCAGACTCGCACGAAATGCGAGTTTAAACATGTTTATATAATCGCTACCAAACACTTCCAAGGCACGTAGGAGGGCTCAAGGCCAATGTCCATCCACACATGCCACATGAATGCATCGCCAATCATGGTCGAAGGGTGGTGCATCATGGCCTGGATGAACCAAGGGAAAATGGTCCCCTTTGGAACGGCCTTATCCGCACAGGACTTCCAGGAGCAGCCTGCCGAACGGCGCCGTGGGCGAGTTGAGAGTCCCAAAGGGTCGTGAAGTCGACCCAGTGGGTCATGGCACGGACCTACCGCCGTTGGACCTACCAGGTTGACCCATCCCGACGGTCCCATCCTACGAGGCATACGAGCTCCATCCGCGGCTCCGTCCGGTCCCCACCGGCGGTGCGCGCCTTGCTCGATCTGCATTTGCAGCACTTGTTTGCTGGAATACAGCGGAACCAAGCGCCAGCGCTGGTCCAGCAAGAGCGGAGGATGCGACGAATGCCAGGGGATTTTCTGGCGGCACCAGGGGAGAGGGAAGACATCGAGGCACCGGGGAGGGGTAGTCCATAGGGCCATAGAACCATCTAACTAGTGGTTTCAGAGTAGATATGGCACAAACCCCAATGTCGGTGGTTTATATGGACCCCCATCTCAAAAACATCTTGGGGGTTGCGCCATCTACTCCGAAAACATTGTAAAGAGAAGGGAAGGACAATTGCACTGAATGGACCCAGATGGACCTGCAAAACTACCCATGCAGCTAGTTCCTGCATCTGTTGCAGCCTGTTACAGCCTGTTTGTTCTACTTCCAGGGTTGACCATTTGAGGCGAACCAATCAACCAATCAACCCCTCAGCAGCCCAATGCCTGACCAGCCCAACTCGGAAGCCCATTGGGTTGGCGGCCGCAGCCACTTTCGTGGAGATTTGTTCAAGTGGACAGCAGGATCAGCAAGCGAACTTGATCGGTTTCTTCGTGTGCATGGCTTTAAAACCGAACCCCTTGTTCAATGTGTTTTTCAACATGTTTTTCCCTTCCCAGTGGCCTTCCCTCTGTCCTTCCATGGATTTTTGTTGGTACCCTCGGGTGGTATGGTGAAACGGTGCCGAAAGCGCGGTGCCTGGATGTTTCGATGTGGGTCCCTGTAGTCGGTCATGTCATCCGTGAACTTCAGGCCATACTCCTTCACCTTGGCCACCAAGCGAGATGCCACTTCATCCTCGTCCACGAAGAAACCCGCAAAGAACATCGCATTGAGACCATGGTCACTCCTGGCAGTCCTGAGATCTCGCCAGGCGCACCCGGCAATTCCGGGAAAAAAAGAAAAGCGGAAAAGACCTGATATGTAGACAAAGAAGGCAAAAAGGCTCCTGTCATGTTAATAATCTAGATACTGTAGATCGATACATCATGATACCTACAACTTTGCTCCAGCATGCTCCAGCTGTCCGTGTCAATTTCCAATCCACCCTTCAGTGCTAAGTATTTCTCACTGCCAAGGCGCATATCGTAGCCGGCATTGCACAAAAGCTCCAGCTTCTTCTCATGCTTGGCAAAGATCGGACAACTTCCCAAGGGGATGCCCTTGCCAAACCACTCGCACATGAAAGAGCCATCGTACGTCGCACCAGTCTTCACCGTGACCTCGGTTTTATCGTGGAGGGAGTCGATGCAACCCGGTTGCACTTCAAGAAAAACCCGACAAACTGCACTACCCCAACAACATTGTAAGTGGAAGAAAGCCTTCACAATGACATGGAACATCCTTAACTAGCCATTCAGAAGCCTCCCATCATTTAGCCTCCCTTCGCCTCCCATCCGGCGAATCGGCCCGGCATCCCAGACGTCTCCTCGCCGGAGACCCGCGAGGAAAAAGGTGGTCCAAAGGTCCTCCTGTGCATACGAAACGTGTGTCTCGGCCCCCGGTGATGCAGGGGCAGGCAAAACCGCGAAAACGCGAAAACGGCGAAAACGGCAAAAAACGCGAAAACGCGAAAACGGCGAAAACGCGAAAACGAAAGTAAGAGCCTGTTGGAGTGGAGTCAGGAAAGCACGCCCGAGACTGATCTGGGATTGGAGGTTGTTGTCTTGATGCCGATGATTCGGGAATGGTGGTTGTCACAACGACTATTATAAAACTAGTGCTTGGACTTATAGGGTATATATATATATATAAATGATACCCACCCAAAGATCTACCATTTCTATTTGTTTCACGGTTGTGGATGCTCATCCATCAATTTTTTGAAAGGGAGTACCATGTAAATATATATATATATACACATGTCTTATTGCACGCTAACTGTTGAGATGCTCACTGCACATCATTGGTTGCAGGGAAGTACGCGTACTGTACGCGTACAATGGTCAATGTTTACTGTACGCTAACTGTTGTGATGCTCACTGCACATCATTGGTTGCAGGGGAGTACGCGCACTGTACGCATACAATGGTCAAACCAAGAAACCAAGAACCAAGATTGCACAGACCTATGAAAATGAATCTTGGTTTGGGGTGTGTCCTTTGAGACCCATTGACTGTCAAACCAAGATCCCTGACAAGAGCTGTGCGCAATCTTGGTTCTTGGTTTCTTGGTTGGACCATTGTACGCGTACAGTACGCTTACAAATGAATCTTGGCTTGGGGTGTGTCCTTTTTTGAGACCCAGGTCATCCAACTTGCGTAATGTGCATTGGCTGCATCAAGCCAAGATTCCTGACAAGAGTTGTGCTCAATCTTGTTTTTTTGTTTTGTTGTTTTGAGCCATGTACGCGTACAAAGCGTTTGTACACGTACTTTCCTGAAACCAACATGCAGTCAGCATCTCAAGGGTCATCATGCAATAAGACATGACACAAATATATCAAAGTATGACACGACTATAGTCCCATCAGGTTATTTTGATAAAAACATTGTAGGACTATAGTTCCATCAGTTTATTTTTGAGTAAAAAACTGATACAACAAAACTGATAGAGATTGACAGGACTAAAGCCTTTACATGGGCATTTACACAGACTAAAATCATACCGGTTTTTATGAGTTTTGATAGTTGGAACATTACAGGGATGACATTGACATTAGCAAAATATCTAGTTTTACATTGTATACGGTGGAAGTGAAGGCATCACATGTTTTTCAATAAGAAGTATAACTTAATATATGGAAAGTGTTTAAGAAAACTATTGGAAGCAAACAACGAAAATATTTTGTTACAAAACTCCTTCATTCATTCATTCGTTCATTCATTCATTCATTCATTCATTAGGTCAATTATGACCAGATTGTTAATGAACTATGGGAAACCGATCTTACTAAAGATGACAAAAAGAAAATAGGAAATATCACAACACCGCACAGAAGTTACAGTTTCAGACTTTGAGGGAAGCTTGCCATTACCAGAGGGAGTTTGGAGGAAGGGTTTGTGCCATACAACAAGAAAAAGAAAAAAGAAGAAGAAACAAACACGCAGTACCTATTACATCTTAAACACAACCAGTCGAAATGAATTTTTCAATGGGCCTAGAGATATGAAAGAGCTGCTTCTTCAATATCATAACTTTTCAATGAATGCAGCGTAATCATTTTTTCAGAAAATGATATTAAGGTCTATTCAGTGGAGAGTGATGCCTTCAGGATCCATGCAGACGGTTTGACTAGAGTGATGGGTGAACCAAATCATTTTATAAAATCATATCAGACTGGAATATTGAACTTTGCTGAAGGCATAGGCAAGCGGAGACTGACAAACAAATCAACCAATTTCCAACCAATAAGTACATATTTTGATATAATGACTTAATTGAAATTCCAAAACTAGAAAATGAACCAACAGAGGTGGTAGATGAATGGGACAACCCCGGAATATGTAAGCAAGTTGAAAAACAAAACCCCTGCATGATCAGATCAAAATTTTCTGGATCGAGTTACACATGTCAGTATTCTTAAAAGGTGCATAAACAAATTTTGTTTGCAGAGCCTTATAACTGGTTAAGTCAAAAAATAGAAGGTGACGCAACAACCCATAACATTTTTAAGATTTCCAGTTCATAAGCAGGATGAACTACCAGAGTTTGATCATAGCAATTTTGACGTCATTTTCTTTGATGAAATCTATATGACCAATCTTTTAATTTTTTAACTTTACTGAAAAACACAAGACCATAAAATCATTTTGGGCGCCGGTGATACAAAACAGTTAGAACCCATCAATGATTTAACTAACACCCAGTCAAAGACTACAATATGGTCAAAATTGTGCTCAGTTTGTTCTCTGAAATCAGTGAAATTCAAAATAGGTAGATCTTTGGGGGGTAGCTACATATATATATATAAGAGACATCCAAGGTTGGACACTACATAGGCGCCTCCTGCCACATCCTGTTGTTGGGCCTCTTTTGAGTTGAAAACCTTCGAAAGTGGCGAAGACCACGAAAACGACGACTGCGCGAAAACCACGAAAACGGCGAAAACGACAAAAACGTGCAAACGGCGAAAACCGCAAAAACGCGAAAACGGCGAAAACGACGAAAGTGGCGAAAACGGCGAAAACGACGAAAACGGGAAAACGGCGAAAACGACGAAAACAGCGAAAACGACGAAAACGGCGAAAACGACGAAAGCGGCGGAAACGGCGAAAACGGGAAAGCGGCGAAAACGAGAAAAACAGCGAAAACCGTTTTCTTGCTTTTCTCGTTTTCACGCTCAAAGACCAGACAAGCAAGAAGACGTAAGAAAACTGGAAAAAACTTCCACACGGCAAAACGCGAGAACGGTTTTCTCGGTTTTCTAGTTTTCTCGGGTTTTCTCGGTTTTGCCGTCGCATCGCGCGGGCCACGACGCAGGTTTTATGTCCTCCCCCCCCGTCCAAAAACGGAAAGAGAACCCACCCAAGTGGCTTTGGATTGGCCTTAACGGCTTGGTGACTAGAATCTAGTCTGATTTGGAATCTTCGGTCAACAAAAACGGAGATTCCATGTTTATAGAGTTGCGATGGAGATGTCACACATGTCCATGACCGTTTGTGCCTGTCGAGCGACATCTGCCTTGGCCTCCAGCAAAATCTGAACACATCTGTTTGCTGTCTCGTCATTGCCGGTGCAATCCAACGCAAAGCTCAAGGCTGTGCAACCTTCACAGCTGCGGCTGTTCACCTTAGATGGACCGCGGTGCGATCCCGGACTTCTGCTGTGTACAGAGCCTCAACGCGATCACGTTTCATTTAGCTAGCATATGTCAATATCCGGACGTGGTCATGCTGGGGTGCGACTCACAAATGTGCCACGTGCAAACAAGGGAACCTTGAGATACTGGATTTGATCCGATCCGGAACTCAATGATACTCTTGGCCACCACATGAAACTCCATAGAAAAGGCACAGATTCTACAGTGTCTACAGCTTAATTGTTGTGCAAGGTGTCCATCTAGGTGACCCATGGTGCAACACATTACACCATTGCTCCGTTCTCTGCGCGAACACCGGAGGTCCACATCCACGTCTTTTCGCAGACGGGGGTGGAACGGGCGCGTAGGGAGCAGAGCAGCGTGGTGTGATGGGCGGCGTTTTGGAAGCGGCGGCCTTTGGTGGTTTCTTGGGCCGCGCGGTGTCTGACGTGGCTCTCGCGTGGCTTTGGCAGCGTCGCACATGTTCTTTTGCGAGGTCTATTTCTTGGCTACCCAATCTTCCTTGAAGGCCTTCCTAATCCACACTGTAAAACACCAAGCGTGCGACCGCGCCGACTTTTCCTGCAGACAAACCCTTGTGCCTAAAGGTGCAAAGTCAAGTGGAAACAGGATGCACTGAGTGCCACATTCACACTCCCTTTCTTTAAGTTGATCCTGATGGGCTCAAAGCCTTTAAGGCCTTCCACCAGTCTGCGCTACGGCCGATGATCTTCGTGAGGTTGTCTGCCAGCTGACGCGTCGTGGGCAGCCGTCTCATAGCCTTTTCTCCATCGAAGCCAGGCATGCCCGGCCAACTGGCCTGCTCTTCATTGATCATCTGGCGGGGCCCGGCTAGATCCACAATTAGCCGCTTTTCCGCTGGTGCTCGAGGCCCTCCAACTCGGTGAACTGAGTCGCACAGACTTTACAGTCTGTCAAGGAGACAATGGGGAGGTTCTCCTGTGTGCCCTTCTTGAAGCACCCCATCAGCAAAGCTCTGAAGGCGATCGCTCCTTGCCAGCCTTCAGAGCAGCCAGGCGAAGGTGCTTCTACATAATGTGGGGCATGCGTGCGATTTCCAGCTCACCACCATTCCTTCACCAGGTTGACCTTTGAGGGTGTCCTTGTGGGCAATCAGGATGATGAAGCCAAGCTGCGAGTAGACGCCCACATTCTTGAAGTTCTCATGGTCTTCATCTCCAACACCTAGGTACACTGGCCCAAGCAGCATCGCGATAGACCAGCAAGACCAAATCGTTGAAGTTCCCGAGCCTCTTGTACTCCAACTTCTCTCCCTTGGCCTGTTGGGCCATCCTGACCACCTGGTTCGTAGCCTTCACGTCCTCATAGGTCGGGTCCTTTTGTTTTCTCTGTGCCATAGAAACTCCTGCTATCTGGTCGGGTCTGTGATGCCAGCCATGAAAGTCATCGATCTTCACCATTGACAGGTCCTGAGAAGGTCTTTGGAGAGGTCGTTCTTGCCGAGCAGGACAGGCTCGCCCACGTTCTGCTACATAGGTGGCCCATGCCCTTTCTCTATCCAGGCGCGTCTTCTTGTGGCCCTCCATGACAGTCTTTCCAAATTCAGCTGCGTACTGTCCCGCTGGTTTGGTATTCTGTCCTTCTGTCCGCGTGCGGTCATGATCTCCTGCGCAAGGTCTGTCAAGAACCTTGACATAGTTCTCATCTGTAGTCCACACTGTTGTAGGTTTTCTCAGTGGGCCGTCATCGGACTTGGCTCTCAGGTTAAAGCTGCACATGTTGAAGGAGACCTCCATGAGGCAAGGATCATCGAGAAGCGCTCGGATGTCAGGTTGGTCCCACAGGGCTGAGCCGCTGGGGCGCTCGAAGGCGACACGCCTTCCTTCCAAGATCTGCTTCTCGGCAACGTGGACCAGAAAGCGGATCATCTTCTTCTGCTTTGCCCGCAATAAGCAATCCAAAT